TGACGCGGGGGAGCGAGAGACGAGTCTTTGGAGGGCCAGAGATTGTCCCTAGGATTACAATTATTTATATAGCGCCAACATATTCCGCAGCGCCGTACAATCGCTTAGACAAGACACACTGACATACAGAGACAGTGGGTGAAGGGAGGACCCGGCCCAAGGAGCTTACACTCTAAGAAGGGGGAGGGAATGGAAGTTTATTCCAGCATGAGGCATGTGGGGGTCCCCTGTCAGGAGGCCGTGGGGCCCCCGAGGAATGATCCGGGACTGACTGTGAGCGATCTATTTATATCCTAATCAATCAAATCTCATAGAAGCCTTGAAAGTGAACTGTAGACACAAATCAATGCAGCTCCGGAATCATCATCGCATCTTATAATCTATTTTTAAATACAAGCAGATGCATGTGACCTGGTATCAGCCTCTGTGCAGCAGGGCTCAGACAGGAAGTGGGAGAAGCAGCACACGAAGCCAATCAGTTCATGTGCTGTCTAAAAAGCATGCTGACAGGAGGAGGCAGCGGAGCGACAGAGAGATCAGCTGGTCACTGTGCTGCTTCTCCTTTCTCTGTCCAGTCACAGGCTGGGGGCGGGTCCTGGATGACCTGGGCTCAGAGGAAGTGGGTTTAATAATGCATCTAGTGGCAGAAAATTGCCCTGCAGGGGGAATCATTATATTAAAGTGGAGTGTTGCAGCAGAAACTGGTTTTCCTATTTTATCTTTTAATGGGCTCTTCATTCGTATCCTGTTATTTTGGCTGGATTCTGCAACATGTTCAAAAGCAGTTTGTAATCTACTTAAATCTGCAGCTTTCATTAAAATAATCTGTGGTAATCCCGCCATGTAGGTCCTTATTCAGGCACTTCCTGCTATAGGGTGACAACACTCTGTCCCTGTCTGCCAATTGTGCTCCTGAGTTGTCACCCTGTCACACAAGATGCTGATGGAGACTATTCAAAAATTGGGGCAGCAGGAGCGATATTTAGTCTTCTTCTTAAGTTTTTTTTATATATATATAGGGGCGGGGCTACTTCAAAACCAATATACAGATCTGGCCGACCACCCACATCAACAAACGTTACTGATTTTTTATTCTGACTTACCGTACCTTGTAATAGCTGGGCCAGGGTGCTCCCCCTCCACTTCTCGCTCCCGATCACATGACCATAGGGAACGGCGGCCGCGCCGGCTCTGACTGGGGTACCCTCCTGTGTCGCCATTTAAACGCTTCGATCATTTCCATGGAGCCATCCTGGGAAGGAAAGAAATGACGCATCCTGCTTATAGCAGACCTGGGAGTTGTAGTTCCCCCGTAGAGACTGACAGGACATGCTGGGAGTTGTAGTTCCCCGTAGAGGCCAACAGGGCATGCTGGGAGTTATAGTTGACCAATGCAGAGTGACAGGACATGCTGGGAGTTCGAGTTCCCCGTAGAGGCCAACAGGGCATGCTGGGAGTTATAGTTGACCAGTACAGAGTGACAGAACATGCTGGGAGTTCGAGTTCCCCCGTAGACACTGACATGACATGCTGGGAGTTGTAGTTCCCCGTAGAGGCCAACAGGCCATGCTGGGAGTTATAGTTGACCAGTACAGAGTGACAGAACATGCTGGGAGTTGTAGTTCCAGCATATCCTGTCAGTCTCTTTTGGGGTTGTAGTTACCCAGGAGAGACTGATAGGATATGCTGGAAGTTAGAGTAACAGGACTTGCTGGGAGTTGTAGTCCCCAGTACACACTGAAAGGACATGGATGGATCTGTAGATAAATTATGCAGCTGAGGCGGCCGAGTCACACACCACCTTGCCAAATTAAATAAATAAAGGATGCTGCAGGGAGAAGGACCACACAATTCAGGTATGTGGAGTTTGGGGGTGCGGGATTGGGGATATGACCACGTTTTGTGTTACCCCCTAAATATTGATGTACCATGGAAAGCACCCCATTAACATGGCTGGGAATGGGACAGACATGGAAAGTCAGGAGACGTAATAGAGGGGAAGAGGAGAGTACTGTTCCTGCAACTGGATTCTGGAATATTCCAATCTGACACAACATTCCGTGTCACCGCACCAACTGTCCCGTGCGCACATTCAGTGACAGTCACAAGGCAAACCTCTTGTGAGCACACTATATTGCCACAAGTATTGGGACGCCATTACTTGAAGCTCTCTACGCACTGTTGTTGCGCCAATCTGAAGGCCACACCAAGTTTGGAGCTCTGTAGTTATTGACTGCAGACAGTTGGCGACTTCTGCGCTTCAGCATGCTCTGACCCCGCTCTGTCATGTTACGTGGCCTGCCACTTTGTGGCTGAGTTGCTGTTGTTCCCAGTTGCTTCCACTTTGTTATAATACCAGTAACAGGTGACCGCGGAATATTTAGTAGCAAGTAAATGTCACAGAACACCCGAATCCAATGATTTGGAGGGGTGTCCCAATACTTTTGGCAATATAGTGTATATGACAGGAGGGAAAGCAGGTCACATGACTTGCATTAAATCACATAAGCAGGTCACATGACCAGCTGCAAAACCCATCTGTTATTGCTTCTTAATGGGGATATATATAATATTTCCCCTCTACCTTAGCCTACCTTCTATTGGGCACTTCTTCCCCAGCAGCATTAATACACAATGTAACAATTCTTTACACTCAGATGACAATATTTCTACATTGTAACTTTTTCTTTCACTCACCTTCTCCCGCGCCTCGTCGCTCCTCCACACGCAGCTTTTGTTTCCTAGGCGCTGATTGGAGAAGCCACCGCCGCTCAAACTGAGTGACCCAATGAGAGCCACTCTCCTGTCTCTAGGGAGGGACTTCCTTCTTCACTCTATCCCACCGGTTTCCCTATGAGGAAGACGCGCAGGGTTGCCTGGGACGACGGAGAGGGGCGAGAGCCGATTGGTGGGAGCGCGCCTAGCTGCCAATCGGAGCAAGAGGTGGCGGTCACGTGGGGGCAGGACGCGGTGGTTGAAGTGAAAGAAGGAGGAGGAGGAGGGAGAGCTGAGGGATACGGAACGGCCGGTCTGTGAAGAGGGGGACACCCGGCGACAGCGCGGCACCATGTCCTTCCCCTTCAGGAGGAGAGAAGCCAACCAGTTCGTGAGTGTGACTCTCTACGCAGGCCCACCAGAGACCGACAGGACATACTGGTAGTTGTAGAGACTAACAGGTTATGATGGGAGTTGTAGTTCCTTGCCTGAGACTGACAGGACATGTTAGGACTTGCAGTTCTCCACCAGAGATTGACAGAACACTGGGAGTTCTAGTTTTAGACCAGAGACTGAGATAAATGCTCGGAGTTGTAGTTCCCTAGTAGAGTCTGGCAGGACTTGCTGGGAGTTGTACTTCCCCAGTAGAGACCGACAGGACATGCTGGAACTTTCCACCAGACACTGGCAGGGCACAGTGTGAGTTATAGTTCTAGAGGAGAGACTTACAGGACTTGCTGGGAATTATAGTTGACTAGGAGAGACTGACAGGATATGCTGGGGGTTGTAGTTCCCCAGGTTAGCCCAGAAGAGTAGTACCCCATCTGAGATGGACAGTGCATGTTGGGAGGTATAGTTCCCCACCAGAGACCGACAGAACATGCTGGGAGTTGTAGTTTGCCATTTAGGGAATGCCTTGGGCATTTATCCGCTCCTGATTTTCCCATCTGACCGAAGTGTTCATGTTTCCTCACAATCCGACTCCTCACTGACATATTTCACTCTTTTTGTATCTGGAATATGAAATGTCACTGACTGCTAATTGTCTCCCTTGTGTAGAAGCACATTGCTCATGGCCTCATCCCTGCAGCCACCGTAGCCCCCCGCTCCGCTGTTCCTCGCACCCCACCCCCCCGTAGCCCGAACCCCTCTCCGGAGAGACCCAGGTAGGTGCGACCTCCCCCTGTGTGTCCTCTATGTACCTTTCTTCACACTTTGTTCCTTCTGGCTCCGCCCACTTCCTCTGTTCCTTCTTCTGGCCCTGCCCCCTTCCTCTTCTGGTCCTCATGGGTGGTCCGGTGAACCCCCTTTTATCAGATGGGGAACTGTGGAGGATATAGTGCTGACCACACACATTCCCGTTCCCGAAGTACTGTGAATTCCTACCCAGCCAGGCACGCCCTTGTACCACAAGATTGTTGGTAGATCTAAAAGAGATCGTGCAATCAGAATGCAGGATGTATGGCCAATGTAAAGCTGAACTCCGGGCAGATATAAAAGCACTCTAATCATGAATACATTATTAAACGTGACCTGGTATCAACCGCCTGCAGTCCCTGTACAGCAGAGCTCAGAATGGAAGAGGGAGAAGCAGCACAAGAAGCCAATCAGTTCATGCGCTGACAAGAAGCATACTGTAAAGTAGTCACCACTCCAAGCTTGTTCCCGGGATGGACTACAATCTCACGTTTAGTTTACTCATTTGTATTGAGATTGTAGTCCATCCCGGGAGCAAGCTTGGAGCGGTGACTACTTTACAACACACACAGGGACCATGGGGAACAAACGTAGCCCTCCTCCAGAAGGAAGGACAGTGTCGGCACCAATTCAGAGATGATTGGAGGATCTACAGCCGAGTGATACACAAATAAGGCTGGGCACACACCTTACAACCATCGCAAGACTTTTGTCTTGCGATGGTTGTAAGGTACTTAAAAAAAACGTACGATCTGCCTATGTTGCATAGGCAGATCGTACTTGCGATCGCAAGCCACGCCCCCTGAGGGGCGGGCTTCCGATGACCGCAATGCCGAACGGGCAGTGTGCGCTTGCGCACACCGGCCCGTGCGGCTGTTATCGTACGGACATGCCACAAACCCGCCGAACATCGTACGATGCTCGGCGGGTTTTCAAACATGTCCGTAAGTTTAAAGTCGTGCGACCTTACAGTAGTAGAGGTCGCACGGCTTCCACGCACCTTACGAACATCGTACGATTGCGGGATTTCCCGCGATTATCGTACGATAATCGTAAGGTGTGTGGGCACCCTAAGATACATTGTTGTTCAGAGTTCAGGGACCGGAATGGATTATTAAAGGAGAACTATGGGGGTTAGGGCTTTTCCCCATAGTTCTCCTCAGGGTAACTGGAGGACACAAACTAGCGTTCTCCCGTCATCCTAGGCTCAGTATATAGCGAGCTACAACTCGCGGTATACTGAGACGCCGCAGCCGGGACGGATCCCGACATTACTGTCTGGATCCACCCAGCTGCGTGAGTGACAGCTGGCTCTGCCTATCTAG